TATATATATATATATATATACACACACACACACACACAACACATATATATATATACATACAACATGAAAACATCAACACATCTCATCTTAACTTCAACATTATTTACATTCATCACAATACAACCATCACATATCAACATAAATTTCTCATACTACTACAACACAATATTAATTCAACATCACAAGATTAGCAACTCAGGTTATTCATCACAACAACACAATATTTACAACACAATAACTAAATGCATTGTTACGCATCTCAACTAGGAAATCTCCTATAACACAAGGTAAACAATTTAAGTGGCTTGACTCTACTGAATTGACAACACAGGATGATCTTTTTGGGATTGCTAGATCAACAACAAATTGAATATAAATTCATAACACAATAACTCAACTTCTCGGATGTTGTCATTTAAACAACAAAGTGCAATACTACTATCAAGGTAGAACAACTAAGTATGGGCTTACCATGACATTAGCTAGCCTAATTAAGCCTCCTATGAGATTAGTCCACTAGCTACCCTCCAAATAATATGTCCTTCCTATACTCGCTTAGAAACTAAACTTCAACCTTTGTACTTTACTCGATTGGTTACTTATAATCAATATAACTCGACCTGGCCACTATATTGTGGTTGCTTCATACATGTGTGTCTTGACCTTACCCACACACGGTACTAACTAAGTCCTAAAGGAGACTCAACACAATTATCCACTTCAAAGGTCAACTTTCTAAGAAGGATTTTCAACAAATTGGGCTCTTAGAGTACCACAACATAATATCCACATAATGAGATATACAACTTTCAAAATTTCTCCTCTAATCCTAGATTGGTCATCACAACTCAACAACACCATGCCTAAATGCCTGAAGCATTCTCATCATTTATCATCTCAACAACACAACACTTGTTACACATTTCAACACAACTACACAAATAACACAACTCTACAAAACATACATCTCAACTTATATTTAACTTCTCAACTAACAATTCCCAACACAATTATCATATACGACTTCATCTCTGCAGCTTATTCATCATTTATTCATTTAACAACTAAATTAATAAGTACTCGACACTTCATGCAACTATATCAACATGTTTTCCTTTTGCAACTAGTGCCCGACACCACACGTCTATTGCCCGGTGCCATCTAGGAAGGAGTTCTTTAACTCATCCACATCTGATGCTACACAACCCACGTTCGACATGGTTAAGACACATGCCCTTAAGACCTCGTGCCTAGCGTGGCAAAACACCATGCCTAACCCCATCTCAAGCAAAGAGTCTTAGTCTGACTTATGCCTGATGTCGCCATCCCAACACCTGACATTATCCAAGCAAAGAGCTCTGGCTTGGCCATGCTGGGTGCCACTCAACTTTGGGTCCGACATCATCAAGTCAAAGACCTCCCAACATTCTCATGTTTGATGTTATTTAAACCACGCCCGATGCTTTGCCAACTCGAGATGAGTCTCTTTTCTCACATCCTGCACCCAACGTGATCAGGATAGAAAGTCTCAAGTTAGAACGACGTTCAACGTCATGAAGGCGTGTCCAACGCGATATCAAGATTTTACATATGCAGAACTTGATTTTTGCCTCAACACGTAAAATCCAGCAAAGATTCAACACATGAAACATCAAACAACACTTACATACATCAAAACCAACATATATAAGCACTTAGAATCAACATGTAACCATGAATCAACTCAAATCACCCCCATTTTTTCATCAAGAACCCAAAATCCTAACTCTCACTACAACCTACTCTGATTTGATCCCCATATAGCCACGAATTTCAAGGAATTCATACAACATACAACCAACAAATCATTCAACCACTCAACAACTTCACTAAAAATAGGAAACTAGCTTCTTTTACCTCGAGTAGCTTGACACCAAGGCAAAAGAAAAGAAAATAGGTTTTTTGCACTTCACAGATTTGATTCAAAATCTCCACAGCCTAAATCACCACAAACAATTTAAAATCAGTTAGGGGAGAGAAGAAATATAGAAGAATAGTAGATTCACAAGAAAGGAATTCATGAACTAAAGACCTTTTCTCTAGAGTTTTCTCTCTCTAAGATTTTGAGAACTTAAGTATATGAGACTCTATTCTAAATAAAAACCTTATATACTTTTTTTTAGGGTAAAACTGAATTTTTATCCAAAGAAACTCTTTCC